AGGAGTACCTGCCAACTTCAGGAGGCTGTGAAGTGCATCAATGTGGGGCTTCTTTGTGTTCAGGAACTTTCAACCGATCGACCAACAATGTCTGGTGTAGTTCTCAGGCTGAGCAATGAAGTTTCATCAATTCCTTCACCCAAAGAACCTGCTTTTTCCACTCACAGGAGTGTCACTACTACTACTACTTCTTCACAGGCTGTCGGTAGCTGTTCCAACAATGATATGACAATTAGCACGCCAAGGCCTCGATGATGGAATTCGTTAGTTTCAAAGTCTGTAAGCCTGTGAAGAAGCATTGGGGAGTATTAGAAAGAGATATCCTCGTTGAGCAATATTTTCATTTTTATTTTGAATATATTAAATTGACGGCACCTGCAATTGTTAGAAAATAGAGCATCAGTGTAATTGAATCTCTTATTCAATTTTTTTTTTTTGTTTATTTTATGTTTTTCTTTTAATTATGTTTCTTTTTCCTGGTTTACTAATCTTCATCTCCCCCCCCCCCCCAAAAAAAAAAAAAAACCCACCATCGAAAAGGATTAAAAAATAAGACTATTATAAAGGGCTATTTATGCAGAACTGCGGTCGATCTCAAAAAGTAGGACCAAAGACTACAGCCATCTTAATTTGAACCATGGGGAGTGCTATGAGTGATGCTTGAAAGGGTCAAGACCATTTACAAGGGTGGAATCCATCAAGGTGTTACTGTGTGGGTAGGGCTAATAATCGAGCTCATAAAAAATTATTCAAGTTTAATTCGTCTTAAAAATGAGTCAAATTCGAGTTTAGCCTTTTAAGCTCTTGTTTCTAAACAAATTTAAAAAATTGTTTCAACTTAGCTCGTTTAAAACACGAACCGACCCCAATAAGCTCGGCTCGGTTACCTGAGACTTCTATCATATCAGCCTCACATTTTCATTCAACCAGGATCCGAATTATCTTGAAGAGGTGGATTTGGAAGATAATGCATAACTAGATCTTTCTTTCTACAAACAGAAACAAAGGAAAAAAAAATTGGGTATGTAATTATTATCAGCGTATATTAAACTGAATAGCTAAATGTGCCTGCCTAATTGTCAAAACTTGGCCAGTAAAACTGTTTTAGCCTGGATAAAGAAGAACATAAATCAAGAACACCATTATCGACCTTCTCCAAGAGAAAATGTCAACTCATTATGGGACTGTGCTTCTTGTTTACTTGAGGAAGAAGAAGGTGTGCTGGAAAGGCGTTTTCTTGCTACAAAAGCCGGTTGTTTAGGGTTCAGAAGAGTTGCAGTTTCACCGCCGAGCATTAACACTACATTTGTCATGGTGGGACGATCACTGGGATCTTCTTGCACACACAAGAGCCCAACATTTATGCACTTCAAAACTTCACTTCTACTGCATGATTCCAGGAGTGTCTGGTCCACCAAGTCCATTGCCCTCTCTTCCTTCCACAATCTCCAAGCCTGGGACAACCATCATAGTAATTAGAGATGTCAATCAAGTCAGGTCGTCATGTTCACTAAGTGTCATTTCGAATCGTGTCATTTCAAGTTTGTGTAATGTAAAAATTATTCAATTTTTAAGCAAATTATACAACACAAGATTAAGTGAAAAAAAGAAATTGTGTTAGTAATACCAACTAAATGGATTATTCAAGTCTAACAATAACCAAACTCATGTAGTATGGGTGTGCCATATTCGGATTCATGTCGTATTGTGTTTGTGGTAGTGTGCAAAATTGAAATTAATAACCATACATGAAATTATGAAAAAAAAAACTAAAGGGTTTTCAGGTTGAAGAAATTTTCAATACTTACATAGCCTAGAAGATTCGTGGCTTCTTTAGAATTATAAAATCCTGTGTTCCTTTTCCCACTAATAATCTCGAGGACAACAACTCCAAAACTGAAGACATCTGATTTAATTGAGAACAATCCATCTAATGCATACTCTGGAGACATATAGCCACTGCATTGCACCATATCTCAGGGAAGAGAAATTAGAATATCAGAATATATAGGGGTGCAAATGAACATAGCTAAGTTGAGCTTTTGTTGTTCGGGATCGGCTCATTCATTCATGAAGAGTGTTTGGAGCCGGTTTGGAATTGTGATGAATTCTAAACATCTTCAAGCTTAGTTCAATAATTTTGTGTCTAAACTCAAGCTCAACTCATCCGATTTCACAACTAAGCTCAAGCTTAAATTCAAGTTTAGACTCATGTTCAAAATCAAACTTGGCTCATCTATCCATTTAAAAATTATCATGTATAATATATATACATAAGGCTACATATATGATACATAAAATTATAATATATATGTGCATATAAATGTATGTTTATGAGCCTAACAAGTCAAACAGTAATAATCAGGCTTAACTAGTTCCTTAAACAAGTTTCAAAATTGAGATTGAGGTTGGTTCTTTTAATAAATGAACAAACTTAAAAAGTGTTTATCGAGCCGATCCCAAGTTGTTTTTAAACAAATCAGTTCATTTGTACCCCTAAATATTAGTCACAACTGGCCTTTTATCCATAAAGGGGCAAAGTCTGTGTGATGAATGATAAAACAGGGCAATCTTGCTTCTACAGTAATGCCAAAGCTCTTGTACTTACTAGGTTCCAACGACTCTGTTGGTATTTGCTTCTGTTTCTTTACCTCCAACTATTCTTGCCAAGCCAAAGTCGGAAATTTTGGGATTCATCTCCTCATCTAACAAAATGTTGCTTGTTTTCAAATCTCTATGAACAATCCTCAACCTGGAATCTTGGTGAAGATAAAGAAGCCCTCGAGCGATACCCAAAATGATGTCGAAGCGTTTCTCCCAACCCAATAACATGCCAAGTGTTTGATCTTGCAATGACAGTCATTGTGAAACACAATTTCAGTGACCTTGTTTAGTCTCTGCTTATCAACAGTAGTGTTTGTAAGCATAAAAAGTTGGTAACTTAGGCATATAAACTGACCAAATATAAAGGCATCTAAGCTTCTGTTTCGCATATATTCGTAGAGTAGAATCTTTTCCTCTGCCTTGATACAATAGCCCAATAGTCTGACTAAATTTCTGTGTTGAAGTTTAGCAATCAAGACAACCTCATTCTTGAATTCCTCCAATCCCTGACCTGAATAGATTGACAACCTCTTTACAGCTACTTCTTGTCCTCCAGGAAGCATGCCCTGTTAGATGCCCTGTTAAATATATAAATATATATTTTACATCCCTCTCTAACACCCTAAATTTTTAGAATAGTTGATGGTTTAATGTGGTATCTGAGTTCAAAATGAGATTTTGAGTTCAAATCACTTTAAACCCCCCTCCCTTACTCCACAAATCAAAACAAAAACCAATCATGTACCCAAGAGGGGCCACACGTGAAGGAAATATTATATAGACATGTCACATGTATGTTGCACTTCTCTCTAACGTTTAAATTTTTATGAGTTGCTAATCAACCGAGCGACCAACTATATAACCAACATAGTAGTTGAAAATGAACAATGATGTGGATGAAATGATGATTACCTTGTAAACGGGCCCAAATCCTCCTTGTCCAAGTTTATTTTCATCGGAGAAGTTATTTGTAGCTGCTAGTATGATTTCCATATCAAAAAAAGGTACATCAATGGCTTCCTTGTCATCATCTTTAAAATGGCTTGTACCTATCAATTCTTTGACTTGTCGTTCGCTGTCATGTAAGTGCGTTAAAGGATTCCCACGCATGCCTTCTCTGGTTTCTGAGGTATGTAAAAAAATATTCATTTTGAATTGACTCGGAAGAACAACACACACACACACATATTTATATATATATCTATGTATGTGTGTGTGTGTGTGTGTGTGTGTATATATATGCATAGTAAACATCTGCTAGTTAGTTACCTCTTCTTTTGGCTGCCGTTTTTCGTCGATAAACAACATAGCTAAAGCTGCATAATAGAAGGATCAGGAAAATCAGAGTTGTAGATATAATCACGCTTTTCAGAGGGACTGTCTCGCTATTCTGAGGCACTTTTGATTGGTTATTAGGGTTTCCGCCTCCTGAAAATAAAGCACGAAACGTTTGTAATTAATTACTCAACTCTACTCAACAACGTCGAAGCTGGAAAACTCTCCGCAGAACAGGATTGTGGTTCAACGTCGGCATTTGCATGTGCCTGCAACTTAAACTTAATTGAATTGTTTGCATAGATGATAGAGATCACCGAAGTGTTAGTATGACACAGTCATAAAACATACGTAGCAGCCAAATTCAGCATGTAATAAATTTTGAGGTTAATAGTATTTTTAGATCCTCTAAAGTATGTTTGGTTAGTTTTGGTCATAATTATATAAATTTTGTCAATTTAATCTCTAAAGTTTTAATTCGTGTCATTTTACTCCCTAATCAGACAATTCGTTAAATTTTTTGATAGAAGTGTCAACATGTCATTCTTTTAAACGATATCAAGTGTCCAATATGTGATCATTTTTATTAAAAATTTAACGGTCTTTCTATATAGGGGATCATTTAAATACAAATTAAATATTTTTGCGGCCAAATTAATAAAATTAATACTTTAGTGACCAAAGTAATAAAATATGCATACTTTAGAAATTAAAAATATTATTAACCCTAAATTTTTGGGACACATCCGTGTTGTTAGTTAATCTTTCTTAAACAAGATTTTATTTTAATCATGTCAGAAAATTGTAGCCTCCAAAAGTTTTTTCTTTCGATCAACCAAATCCTCCCTGGCAATACTACAAGGTCGGGCTGATGCAAAATGAAGGCTTAGGTCACTATTTTTGACGAGATCGTATTATTTCTTAATACAATATTATAGATAATATAATATACTTATTCAAATATTACAACATATTTTTACATAAACAATTTTTTATTATCAGAGTTGCAAAAATATTAATTAAAGTTTTAGTTCTAAAACAAATAATCTGATAGTAGATCAAGAAATGAAAAAATATATATATATTTATTTTCTTCTTGCAATACCAGCAGAATGGATTAATGAATTATTGGTGAGTAACAACAACATTACCTACTTATTTTTCATGATAATGAGTTGTATAATCTTGGTGTTTGAGTCATGTCGAGTTTGTTTCGTCTTCATGTTAATGGGTAAAATGGGCATCCAATATGCAATGACCCTCTTTTTATATTTTATATGCATCCCTTATTTTCACAAATTACCATTGACATTGTTAAAAAAATTCCGATGCCTATACCCCAATTATTTTCAATACTTTTTAGCCTAGCTTTATGATTATGCAACTCTTCTAACTTCATTATTCAGCAAAGAAAAAAGAAAAACAAAAAAGCCAAAATATCTCTCCCTCCACCTATTATAAATTTATCCTCAATGACCCCCAAATCCACAAAAGAAAAAAGAAAAAAAGTGCCAATGTCTTTAGTCGTAAGAAAGATTTTGGTCAAAAGTAAGACGATTTCTATTAACCGAAAATACCTATCTCGAAAGCTGCCACACGGATCGAAAGGTTATAGTCGGGGTATCCCTCCTGAAGATTGATGAGATCCGTGTTCCAAATCCAGCATCCATGTGTACTGTTATCACTTACCCTTCCTGTATCATTGCCTCCATTATATAAATAAGCCTGGCAATGGCAATTGTCAAGACACTCCTTTCTGCAAGCCTCATCACTATCGGCCGCGTCGTACGACTGCGAGTCCGGTTTCCCCACCTTCATCAGCATCAAGTTGTGAAAAATATCACTCCCCTCCTTGTTGCATGTTGGTGATTTCCGAGTACACCCACTTTCAAAATCTCCCGTAACCCAGTTTTCCGGTGAAACAGGCTCACACCCTGCCACACAGCTGCACACTGTACTATTCTGGCTGTTGCAGCTAGCAAATTTGCCACAAAAATTATATACACTACAATTGTCGCGAGGCTCTGACCATATCAACGACCACAAGTTGTTACCGTTACTCCAATTAAAATATTGTATCTCGCCAGAGGAGTTCATCAACAGCCTCGTATTATTGTAAGAGCGTTCAGTAACTATAAGATTTTTGTACCTTTTTGACTTCGTACTAAAATTTGAGAGCAAGTAAGCCACTCCTGAGGGCAATTCGTTGGGGCTGTCGAATCCACCTGAATCTCCACTTTTCCAGTATGTCGTCGTTCTTTGCCGGGTGAGGTAAATAGGTCCGTTGCTGAGTTCTTCATCTAGTTCGAACGTAAAGTTTCCCCTTCCTGGGTCTTTTGCACTTTTCCATGAGGTCAATTTTTTTTTGTCATCCATCTTCATTCCGGGGAGAAAAGTGTCTGTTGGGTGATCAAAGCTTTGCCATAAAACACTTCCTGATTGATTATCAATTAAAACCAAGTTTCCAGAATCAAACAGCTTCACTGTCCTGTTAGAAGCAGAAGAGCTTTCGAGATCAGTGGAAAAGTAAGTAATTTTATTTCTATCGAGTACCTTGAGGTTGCCATCATCAGCAATGCCAAAAACTCCAAAGGAATCGGAGAGATTTTTATTTCGGTTGGCCACCCATACAACTGTTTTTGGATCTCTGTAGTACCATATCCCGACGAATCTCTCTTTGTTATGGACTCCTTCTGGAGTGAAGAAACCCAATCGAAATCGTTCTCCAGCTGATACTAGCGTTTCATTGTCGTCTCTGATCTCATTGTCAATTGTTATTGTCTCTCTTCCTTCACAAAGTTGAAGTAAGAGAGACCCAATTATCTGCACAACAAGAAGAAACAAAAGAAGATGATAGTTGATAGTATGTGAGTTGCAGATCATTGGATTGAAACTCATGGAGATTTTTGAGCCATCGGAAGTTCTCCGTTAAGAAGAGTGGTAGCTCAAAAGTTGACTGGTGAGCTGACTAGCGATTGTGTGGTGGTGGTTGATTAGTAGCATGTGGTGTCCCAGTGGTACACCAGGCAAGGAAATTATTGGGGAACTGGTTGCCCCATTATTGCCACTACAAACGACAAGTCCTGTGGAAATTAGTACCGACTTGAACACCTGGAATACATTTTCTTTTTGTATCTCTTTTTAGCAAATTAGTCATCATGTGTTTTGAGGAACACCCTTATTCACAATGGCTTTCACTTGAATTTAATGTCGATGATGTACCTGAGAGATGAGTTGATGAAAAAGTTATACACACGTGACATTTTCATTGAATAAAAAAAAGTTATATATGCTTTTGCAAAATAATGTTTTGATACCATAATAGGACCTATTTTAGGTATGGGGCACATTACAAGTGATCTTTCAACGCCACCTCTCAATGTTATGTGGCATACATTTTGAGCAATGTTACAGGAATTTAATTTATAAACTTAATTACTTACAACTGTTAGATTAATTATGAGTTTTAATGTTAATCATGATCAAATGTCATTTTAAATACAACAACTATAAATGGTCAAGTCGTGTATGTATATGTATATTATGTACATCACATATTGTAGGTTCATACATTTAGACTAGGACCACCACTAGGCCATCATCCTAATAGAAAAAAAAAAAAAAGACTTGTTGGATGATTTTTTAATATGTTTTTTCAAAAAAAAATAATTTTGTCAACTTTTTATTATTTTCTTATAACCAAAAAGATCTAAAAAAAACTAATCCTTAAACAACAATGAACCTAGTTTTTTTTAACGTTGTTTAGCAGGTAGCTAAGCCTCATCGGTGTGGCAAAAATAAGCCTTCAAAGTTTTGATTGTTGCAAAATCCATGTCTTTTTTTGTTGATTATAAAGTGATAAATTGATATAAAGGGTAAAGTATAGAAAACAGTATAAATAATACTTGTAAATACTATATAAATTTTGGATTCATACACAGGAGGAGGTCATATAAAAAAAATTTTGGGTGGACACTTCAAAAAATTTTAATTCTCTTCTCTCGTTCAATAAAAATAAGATAATACATTAATATTTTTTAAAAAATTTATTTGACACTTAATATTAATTGAACACGATGGGTTTTTTGACCATACGTAGTGTTCTCACCAAAAATAGTCGTCTAATGCTATGGTTTATTCTCCTCTCACATATTTGATTTTGGTTTTTTAACTCCAAACGATTGTATAACTTTATGTTGTGTGAAGTTAATTTTTGAGAAAATTTTAATCGCACCCTCTAATTTGTCATATCTTTAAGAATATTTCCTCTATTTTTTAAATTTTTACTGACACCCCTGTCAGATTAAAAATGTTAATTATAATACAATTCTACTACATTGTCCATGATATATTTGAGGACAAACTTCATCCACACTCTCTCTAGGCATATCTTCAATTAGACCCTCTCTGTTTTCTAAATTTTTTTATGTATTAAAATTTGAACAGATTAAAATTCAATTCAAGCTAATTAAAATTTATTTTTTACGTATTAAAATTTGAGTCGATTAGAAATTATATTTTTTTACTTATTAAAATTTGAGTCGATTAAAAATCAATCGGCTCAAATCAAATTTTAATTAACTTGCATTAAATTTTAATTAGCCCAAATTTTAATATATAAAAAATATAAACTTTAATTGACTCAAATATTAATAAGTAAAAAATATAAATTTTAATCAACTCGACTCGAATTTTAATACGTAAAAAAAGAACTTTAATATACTCGAATTTTAATAGGTAAAAAAATAAAATTTAATCTGTTCGAATCAAATTTTAATATGTGGAAAAATAAATTTTAATCAACTCAAATTTTAATATGTTGAAAAATAAATTTTAATCGGATCAAATTTTATGTAAAAAGATTGTTTGAGCTTTATGTAGGGCCTTTTTTAGTATTTTAGATGAATATTTTTTTGTTATAAATTGTGGTTTAATGGCAGGGAATATCCGTAATGTTTGACTATAAACTTGAAAGGGTGTCAATAATATTTTTGATAATTGAGGAGGTGTCAAGGGGTGTGACTGAAATTTTCCCAAAATTTTTTTAACACACTTACAAAATGACTCTTATTTTTGATGTAGTGGTCTTAATTTCTATACAATAACAAAACAACCTTACAATTTTTAGAAAATTATCAAATAATCCCAATATGTTCAAAATTTATTCGAAACACATTTTGTTCAAAATGTATCCAAAAATTATTAATCATTTACATATGAGTGTATACTAGTTGAGATGGCAATAAATTAATTAGATATGTTTAATTAAATATACTTAAATAATATAACTAATACATGGAGGTAATGTTAAGAAACAAAATTGAGGGTGGGCATAGTACTCGAGTGGCGCCGCCTGGAGAATAATTATAATTATGTGATTTCTTTCTAACTATCAATTCTAAAAATGTATCTTAATACTATAGGACAGCAAAATATTAGATCAATTCTATTATTCCATCACATACAATAAAAGTTAACGGTCCACCAAATAATTATCCAAACTGTTGAGCTCTAAGACGAGGGTTCTACTACCTTTGTATTTCTCTTCCCTTCTCTCTCCTCTAAAATGAAAAACAGGACATCAAATGGGTCATGAGTCCGCTTCTCTTTATCAAATCAATAAGAGTAAATTATATAGATGATCCTTAAATTATAACTCTGCTATTAATTAAGCATCTGAACTAAGTTTCATGTCAATTAAACTTCTTAACTCAAAAAATTTAACAATTAAGTCACTGAACTAATTTTTTTGTTAATTGAGACCTTAAACTCAAAAATTTTAACAATTAAACCCTTATGTTAGTAACTACTAAATTTTAAGTTGGAATATCTTACTATTTCACCACATAGACAACAAATTAAGAATATTTTAAATTATTCGTTCAAAATCTGTCAGATGAAGAACCTCATTCCTTATACCCATCAACCGAAACCCTAAACCTAAACCTCTTTCATGTCTATCAAATGAAGCAAATCAACAAAATCACACACACACACCCCCTAAACCTAAAGGTTCTTTGTGACGATTCGTATATAAATTAATCATTTAATTAGGTCATCAATTATGATTCTATATAATTAAGGGTAATTTTTAAAAATTTTAAATAAATAAATAGACTTAAAATAAGAATTCTTTATATGAAAATGGATCTAATAACTATAATATAGGTCATATATTGAATTAAAAATGATGTGTTCTTCTAATGATATAATAAAGGTGTAATATATTTATATACACCTACATATATATAGGTGTCCAAATATAAGAGCTAGAGTCAATTAACATATGCTCAATTTAAAAAAAACAAAAAACAAACAAAACAAAAAACAAACATATGGCCAAACAAATGGACAAGTGGCCATGTGATGCAAAATGAAGGAGGTCACCTATGTGACGTTGGAAGCAAAGCTTGGGCTATAAATAGCCAAGCACTTGGCCATTCGACCAAGGCAGCAAGCGAGAGAGAGAGAGAGAGAGAGAGAGAGAGGGGGGGGGGGAGAGAGAAATTTATGAAATTTTACGGTCAAAAATTGATCAGTAATTTTTTTTTAGATAATTATAAAATTTGAATATTTTGCTCAGGGCATTTTGAATTTCAGATATATTGAAATCATTTGAGGAACGAGATAGTATATAATATGCTTATGTCTTTTAAATTTCTTTGCAAAAAGTGTCATTTTATTATCTGAAATTTTGTATTTCTATTGATTTTTCTGATTGATACGAAATTCTCTCAATATTATTAGTTGATCTGTACGTTGGGCTAAATACTTTGGAATTGATTGGTATATATACGAAGTATATTTAGGGGCATAATTGGTAAAATGTGATTATGGCTCTGCGGGGTGCAATTGTGATTACAGTCCTGAGGGGTGTAATAGTTCAATATGAGTATGAATTTTAAATGTTCAAATATCACTTGTCATGTCACATAGAAGACCCAAGTATAAGGTTATGTTTGATAAAAATTGAGTTATGTAATTATCGAATTCGATTCTTAATTCTTTTATCTATGATTGTCTATCAATTGAATTATTTAGTATTTGATCGTTCAAATTTTTTTTTTCTCATTGAGCATATTTTTTCTTATCATATTGTATATTTCCCTCTTTTTAATATTTTTCATGATTATCTCAAAGGGAAGGACCAAAGCTTATATTTGAGGAATCGAAGACGGACGAATGTTGATATAATTTTTAATTTTTATTGGTATTTAGAGATCAAAATTGTAATTATAAATTTTTTTGAAGAAATTAGAGCTCTAATCCTGTATTCAAAGATTTATTTATAGTTTATTATCGATTGATTGATTTAATCAAGTAACGGGTCCAAAAATTTGGAGCCTCACATTCTTCGAAGAGCTTGTTGCTCAGTTGCATTTGATGGATATTAAAAAAGTTTATGTTTAGGTTTAAGGTTTTGATTGATACGTATAAAAAATTAATTTTTTCGTCTAATAGATTTTGAACGAGTAATCTAAAGTATCCTTTGTTGACCATGTGGTAACCACACGAGACATTCATCAAAAAATCCAATAATTACTAACAATGACGGCTCAACACAAATTGGGGCTTAAAACGAGAATTTTAAATGTAATCATATTTAATATTTTAAGAAGATAATAATTTTTTTAATCATTATTAGTGGTTTCGGGATTGAGAAGGATCAAACAATAAATTTGGTACATTTGTAAAATCAAGATCTTATAAATAAATAAATTAAATAAAGTCTTAAAGAACACATGAAGAGAATTAGAAATAAGGACAAAGAACCAAAGTAAGACAATGAGAATAAAAAAGAGACAAATAGTTGGACAGAAGCGGCTATAGTTGAGGAAAAATAGTGAAAAGAATTTGAAAGATATTGCTACTTTTAAAAATAGAAATCGTAACTTTTAAATTTTTTATAAGACTCAAAGTAAGACAATGAGAATGGAAGGGAGACAAAGAGTTGAAGAGAGGTAGCAAGAGTTCAGGGAAAAATAGTGAAAAGAATTTGAAAAAGATTGCTATTTTTAAAACTAGAAATCGTTATTTTTAGAATTTTTAGAAAACTTTATTATATTTTAGGATTTTTTATAAAGCTTTACATTAACTTGTGAAAAAATTGTTACATTTTAAGACTTTGTATAAGGTTTTAGATAGATTTGTAAAATATATTAGGTCTTTAACTTGGTCCATTTAAAAAGGCACTAGAACATAAAACTAAACTAAAGGCTAAAAATTAAATTAGGGCCCTAAATTTTTGGGACTATAAGCGACT